CATTTCCACATGCAAGTTCAAAGTTAATATAATTCTACATAAAATAGCCCATAAGAAATTGTTATTAGCCTTGAAGTATTCTCGTGAAGTTTGAGAAAATCTTGATTTCTTTAATTTTTCAAATTGTGTAATTACGTTAAGCGAATCTGTATTAATTCTAACTTTGCTATTTTTTGGAACAACGCTTAATGCTAAAAGGATAGCTAATAATTCTCCTCTATACGCAGAAGGCCATTTATCAATAGTAGAATAAAATTCGACATGAGGTATATCAAATAAATCACTAATCTGAGCGAACGCGCAACTAATACTACATTGTTCAGTACCTAATTCTATTAATGATCCATCGGTGTAAAATTCAAAAATATAATAATTGTTGTTGTCAAAAGGAGCTAATGTGCGTTGTATAGTTAACAAGTCATTTCTTGAGATTGAAAAATCTAATAAATCTAAAATTATATTATCTTGCACTTGTGGTGAAATCACGTGATTTTGCGTTAACGCTTGATGTATAATATCATATTTCTTTTTTGCAAAATCAAAAATATCAAAAATATTAAATTCTATTAAATTTGTAAGTTGACTAGGAGCAAATTGAGAGTCTGTTAACAATGGTACTAAACATTCCCAGTCAGCAGAAAATGTACAAGGTGATCGTGTTGATAATGATGCATTAGCAGCACATCCATATTCCATACATTGATATATATAAGTATGTGTATCAGTACATCTAGACATATCAATATGAAAATGTTTAATAACAGGTCGTTGTGTTTCATCTATTCCTTGAATTTTTCCAATCACTACGGAGTTAAATTGTGAATTATAAACTGCTATTAAAGATCTATTTTTTTTAGTAATATTATATGATCGAGCCTCTTCCACATTGTCAACACGAGCGCCAAATAATTGTGTTATATTATGATTCAAATGAACACCATCTGAAGTAATTAAATTTCTAATATCTGAATACCATTTAGTTTCTTTCCGTTGTGAAAAAATAGGAATATAAGCCTTAATAAGTATTTCTTTCTATAACAATAAACGAGATTTATCACCTGAAATAATTTGATCTAAAAATAAAATATTCTTTTCACGAAGTCTCTTCCTATGTTTAGAATAATATGCATTATCTACCACGTCTTCCAAAGGAATTTTACCTCCTTTAATTGATGGAAAAGTATTATTATCTAAATTTTCTAACGAAATATTATTATCATAGCATAATAAAAGCATATTAAGAATATAATTATTTTTTCGTGTATGCGGAACACGATTATATGGAAGTTTTTCTATTAATGGGCGTGATGTCCATAATTGATCCTGTAAGGATTTTAAATGAATTTCAGTAATTTTTCCTAATAGACCATAGTCGTTAAGTTGAATACAAAAATCAGTAATTTTGGCTTGAAGTTGATTGTCGTAAAAATCTCTATATCTATATATATAAGGGTTATCAAGTATAGCGTTAGGTGCTGAACGAGCGAATTTTAATTTGTTTTTAAACATCCTTCTAAAAGGAATAATTAAAGATTCTGTTTGAGTTTTTGATAAAGCCATAACTTGCGACCAGTATTCAACTCTTGGAACGATAATTCTATTAAATATATATAAAATATGTTTATCAGTAATCTTCTTTTTATACATAAGATTAACTAAATGGTCTATTTCATTCTTGATCTTGAACATCAAATAATTTCCATCATGTTCAATATTGAAATATACTCCCAGGATACGCATAGTTTCGTGTGGATGTTTGGCTTTAATATTAATTTCTTCACGACCAAACTTGATTGAGATTTTATCATTATAGTTATGAGAATATTTACGCTTCTCAGTTGTAGTCCTCATCATGAGCTCAGACTTTTCTTTGTTGATTTGAATATCGTTAAGACGATAAAATGTATCAGCGATGTATAACATCTTTTCCAATTTTGATTTATCATCAGTAATCCATTGAGTATCATCCATATACGCCATAATGGAAACATTTTGTTGATTAAGAACACCTTCTTCTTGAACAACTGATTTTGATATACAAGAAATATTATATCCCAATTGTTGTTTATTAATTTCTGCTAAAAGAGGATCGTAATAAATACACCAAAGCAACGGTGAAATTACTTCTCCTTGATCAATTCCTGTAAGAACATCATAAGATGCAGTTTTTCCATATGCAGTGATTACTTGATTTTTTCTATCTTTAAAAAGTTCTAAAATGAGGGATGAAAAATCGTTAGGAATTTTAATTCTATCCATCGCTTTTTTGAGTTGAAAAATGTTCACACGATCATAAGCCTTTCCCATATCCTGAGAGAGTATCCATAATTCATTATTATTATCGATTGAATCTTGAATAACTTCATTCATAATCCTTATCGGTTCAAATGTTGATTGTTTAGGCAGACCAGCGAATTGATTTGCCTTTATTACTTTATTATCTTTCAAAATTATTGCTAAACGACGATTTAGCAAGGAAATAAGTGCTTTTCGAGTGGTTTCTAAAAGAGTAATAGGGCGAGATTTTGATAATTCACAATTAAAGGGTTTAGGTTTAGCAATAGGAAAGACCGTCGCTTCTTTCCATTGTTTCGGTAAATATCCCGATCTTTTAATTTTCCTAAACAGAATTAATTGTAGTCAGCCGAATTTTAACTAATTTTGATGATGATCGTCAAATGAATATAACTTGTCGATCATTTCATTGTTAGCCAGGGTGAACACCAAAATTGCTGATTGCGATCAAGAAATGAATAGGGCGTGCATAAAATATTTTTGAAAACTTAATTTATTAACAAATTATCAATTTAATCAGATGTTCATGTAATTTTTTAGAGTAAGTGCAATTCAACTCTTTCTTATTACACAAAAAAGTGAGCTAATAATTAAAATAAAAACTTTATCTGTTATATAGTTAGAAGTATATTTTCGTAATAAATATTGTATCTCTGACTTTTTGCCGGTTAGTGTAATTCTACATTATAATAATGTAAATGTTTATGAATTTATAAATAAGGAATCTTCTACTATCAATAATAATAACAGATAAATAAAAAAAATAAAATTTTAATGTACTGTTCAGGAATGCATTCAGAGTTAGCTCTAGTGTAGACGGAATTATTAATCTGTTAACGCAGAAATAAAATGATCGTTCAAATAGGAATCGTTTGTCCGTATTCAAAGACCAAAAGAGGAATGATTTTAACTAGTGATGCCGATTTAACTGATAGTTTTATGAGAATTATAATCAAAGCCCTATAAAAAAGTAGATACGTTTTGTATTCTGAGAGATACGTCTAGATACGTTTAGTATCTCTCTAAACGTATCTAGACGTATCTCTCAGTATAAAACGTAATCCACTTTTTTGCAAAAAACAAACGTTATTAAAAATTTCTGCATTTTGTTATTATTCTATAATGAAAACAATTTTGGATTGTATTGTTATCAGATACGTATTGTATACAAAGTAAAATTTCAACTAAACAAAGTTTTAACAAACTAACATTTTAACTTTATTATAGCTTTTAACAATTGAAACAACTAGATAAACTAAATCAAAAATGTTAAATCAATTTGAAATTAAAGTCGGCGTCACTAATTATAACCTTTTTTTATACATATACAAAAAAAGATTAAAATACTGTGAATATAAAAAAAATGGACATGAAAAAAAAGATTAAGATTAGATAAGGAATCGGAATAGATAAGATAACAATAAATAGATTAAATTTATGTTACATTTTTATGCAATGCATACACAATTACACATATACATACATACATACATTACATACATATATGTATAATTTTTTTTGACGACGCGCCTCCCTTATCCCCAAGATCGTGCTTCACATAAATAAACCCAATAAGCTATCTTTTTTGGCATAGTGGGTAATGATTAGCCCAGTTCAATTCTATTCTGTTCCGTTATGATCCGATTTTTGCGCTGATCAAAATTCATTCAAAAATCGGATTAACATGGATTAAAAAAAAATAAATAAATAAACGGAATTTATGCCATTTTTTAATTGGCTAAAATTAATTTCACTAAAATCGGATCAGAACAGGGCTATAATGATTATATCTATATGTGATATTTTTATTTCGCAAGTGGCTGAATTGGGTAGATTTTATTCGTGCAATTTCGTTAATCGCCATTATAAACCAACTAAACCTAAAGAATAATTTACACACTCCAAATAAATAAAATAAAATAAAATAAAACAACGAAATAAGATAAATAAATAAATAGAATCCTAATTATTTTAATTTCCATCTTGCGTCTTATATCGTCTTATATAATACATTATTTAGTTAATGGAAGATTAAAAGATAACGCATCAATTTCAATTAAGAAAAATATCTTATTTTCCGAATATGCGAATCACAACAATGAATGCATGTTGAATTAACTTAATATAGTTGTGGGGCTGGCATAAATTCTTGATTTCCGATTATAATTAGGAAAATTCAAATTATTATTGTACGCGCGGAGCGCACATTATTCATTATCTCTTATGAAATCAGAAAATGTTCGCTGTGCAGTATCCAAATTTTAATTTACGAATATATTTGATTAAATACATCATTGTAAAACTTTTTTTATATTCCATCTTTTTTCCGTAAAAGACTCATATTTCCGGAATTAATAACTTTATATCACGGAATTTATCGAATTATTTTGAATGGATCCATGAAAGGCTCATTTTTACGGAGTTTTTACAGAAATAACGGATAAAATTTTTTATAGGATAATAAAATGCCTGTAGTGTGGATAATCTCGCCATCGAAGAAACGTATTTTAGTAAGAAAAAGATGCTATTGTCTTGAAGAAATTGTTACACTTAAAAAAAAAGTGTGTTACACCAGAATCTTTATGTTATAGCAAGTGAATAAAAGAATAATTTCGATTCATCAAATGTAATACTTTATATATATATCTCATTTTTTTTCACACAAATCATACATTCACAAACGCAGAATTAATTTTTTTTTTATCATGTCGCAATATAAATCGAAAAATAACCAAGATACTAACCCAAGTCACTATGAAAAGAAATTGGCTCCCGATAAAGTTGACAATGTGACTCTTGACTTTTCACGAATAAATAATCGTTGTTTAATGATTGTAAGCTTGAACGATGGTACAAAGTTCGATTTTCCTGTACCTACTACACAAGAAATAAAAGATCGTTTCTTTAATAAGAAATCCAAAACGCAACCTAATAAGCCTGCACGACCTCCCAATAAATTTATCATCTTTCGTACTATGCTTCTAGCGGCTATCAATTCCTCAAAGCTTCAGGTTCCCACCGTGTCCGGCCTTGCAAACGAAGTTTGGAAAAAATGCAATCTGGAAATTGACGAATTATTTACCGAACTTTCACAAATAGCAAAATTTGAACACGGTGAACTTAATCCGGGTTATATTTATAAACCAAATCGAAGTAAATCTCGTATTACAAAGAATAAAACTAACACACTTCAAAAAAAAGCTTATCAAAATCTAAATAATTCGTTTAATCCTGCTTTAAATAATTTACCTTCATCTTCTTCACCAACTACTCCAGCATGGACGACTATGTATTCAGAATTGAATTATTTTTATCCTCAAGTCCATTTAAGAATTCCTTCGCAAGAAAAATTCCATTCTGATGGAAATTCGTATACAATAGATGATTCGATTACAACAACACAAAATATCCAAGCAATTCCGTCATACAACACTCACTTCAACTCTCTTGAAACCATGATTAATGATTCTTATCAATACCCTACCAACAAAATGTATTATCCAAATAATGACTTATCAATGGATCAATTTGACACATACAATACTTCTTACGATCATGATGTTAATGCATTGATTCAATCACATCGTTCTATGTATTACTTTCCAACTACAATTGGCTACATAGATAATGATTACAATAAATATATTTTCAATTCACCTACCAGCGAGAGCGATCTATCATCATCAGATGTATCATCTTTTCATGTGGAACAAATGCAAGAATCTGGTTGCATCTATTATTCTCCTGATCATTATGCGACCTTTTCTACTATTGTGTAAAACTCAGGGTTAAATAGCTTGCTTACGACTTGTCAAAATTTTTAATTTATTTGAAAATTTGGAAATTTCTTATTATTTTTCTTTTCGATTTTATATTTATATATTTGAGACTTTTTAGATCAGTCAATGATTAATGTTTTTATGAATACTTTTTTTGCAATAGAATTTTAAACCGCAGCACTATTGTATCATGATATCGTTGTGTGCATTCCTGCGACTTTAAATTATATTTTATATTCGCTTATTCAAAAATAGGATTCAATGAATATTTTCTTTGATGTAAAATTTGTTCAATATATTTAGAGTAAAAATAAAATATCAAGTATTTTAGGCAAAATAATATTTTTTATGGAAAGACGCGCAACCTTATTACATAATGTCTAGTAACTCTAGCTTATTGATTCATCTAAATCTATACCCAACAATGGTAAGCATAATTTTACAAAATTGGTTCTTCCGATGTTGACATGCAATTTATTAATATCCGTGAGGTCAAAAGGAACTAGTAATCCATGCATTAGCAATTTATAACGTAAAGTGGTGTGTCAATGGGAATATCGAAAATGTGTAATAAACCGTAAATGAATTAATTACTTTAGAGCTTTTTTGTTTGGGTAAGCTGGACAAAAAGTTCCGAATGATTTGATGAGCAAAACCAAATATGTGAATTGCTTTCTATCGATGCAAGATTGACATAAGAGGTCGTTTGGATAAAGGTTCGTACAATTACGATGTAGAACGCCTAACGTCGCTTTTTGGTTGTAGAGAATAAGGCATTACATGGCGTAGTGGTCCAGTTAATTAAGTTCAACGTAATGAGCTTTGTCAAAAATCTGAGACAAAATTGATTGAAATAATGGCTCTGAAGTGGGATATGTAGTCACTTTATAACAATCGTGTCATCTCGTGTATTATTGTTTCATAATTGGTTTATCTTGCGAGGCTAAGAAGCCAGCTTGATCATTTAAAAAGTTGTCTGATTGATTTTGCTTAAAGACTATTAGCAGGAAACCTATTAAGCTGAGGGATCAGTATAATTTGCTTATTAATTTTCATGTTATACTTCATTATACTGCGGTAAACGTTATTTTTTTACAAGTATCGGTAGAAGATCATAAATTTTGTTAAAAAAAAATAAATAAATTTACATCTAATCATCTAGCCTTTGATATGGAATCGAGAAGAAAATATTTCGTTAGGATTTTTGATCTCTCTGGATATATTGCACTAATCGCAGTTCGCCGGTTGTCTATTTTTCTTTCTTTTATTTATTTATTTATTTTTTTTTTTGTTAGTAACGCGCATTCTTTTATTTTATATTTATCACATACTTTAATATTTATTCATTCTATTATACTATTTATTATTGTATATCCAATTATTTCAATAAACATTCTTTTTCATGTATTTTTTAATATTAAAAAACAATTTGATGGTAAATCTGAATATAAATGTAAAATCAGATTTATTTTTTTTTTATTTTTTATTTTTATTTCACAAAGTGAATGAAGTTACAATACAAATTACAAAGACTTTAAAACAAAATCGAAAGCAATTCGAAAACTGAAAACCAAACCGTTACTAAGGTGATGTCACCTTGGTGGTAAAAATGGAACGGAAAACGGGGAGTTCTGAGAACTCCGCCAAGGCCCACCAAAGAGAAGGGAATAAGCGTGAAATTAAAAATCTAAAAAAGTATAATCATAAAAAATATTGAATAAATCTATATTATCAAAAGTAAATTATCTCTATGTAATTCCCAAGAACCCGAATGTAAAAAATTACTAGAAGTCCACCAAATATGTACTGATTCATCAAAGGATCCCGTACGGCGGTAGTAAGGGAAACCTGAGTCCGTGAAGGTAATGATCTGTCAGTATTATGTTGTCCCGTCAGTATCGTGCGGGTAATTTCGGTGCGCTTATTGCGTCTATATAGTGTATGATAACGTGTTTTCTTTTTGCGGGTGATGTTTCTGACCGACTCCCATTCTTTGAATTAAATGTAAAATGATGACCTACCTGGGTAATATAATTAAAAAATTATTCATGTGATATTTAAGTTGTCATAAAACGATACCATAAAAAAATGGTAGCCACGCACCTCAGAATCACCAAAAATGTCATCTATAATTAAAAAATATTTGGCCAAATTTTAAATTATTGGAAAATATGAATGTTGATATCTAGAGTACTAAAAAATCGTCAAAATACAGCAAATACAGCAAGAACAAAATAACCTCATTGTACGGATTTGATAATTTAGTGTTGAAGTTCCGCGGTTCCTATTGTACGGATATAAAAAGTTTGCCGAAGTTTAGAGTACGGATTTAAATAAACAATGATTTGCCTTGTACGGATTTACAATAAAAATTGAATTTACAATAAATTTTTACTTCCGCGGGTTCGACGTAAAAAACTCAAATAAATATACTTTTTATCATGTTTTTTTTGTCAATTAATTTAATCATAAATATGAATATCGGCAAGAGAAGTAATTCAAATTCGTCCAAACCAAAAAAAAAAAATAGTCAAATATTCAAAATAATATAAAAAATTTTTGTGAAGTTCCTTATATAGAAATTGAATTTTCAAAAAGTTTGGTGTACAGAAATATGATTATTAAAAAAAAGTTCAGTGTACGGATAAAATATAAGGCCTGAAGTTTAATGTACGGATTTATAAAATTGGTTTGTACGGAAGTGGCCTTTATCCGCGGAAGTTCATTAATACAATTGTAGCGTATTCAGGGGCTCTCCAAGAACTTGGGATGTTTATTAATATTTGTAATGTATAAGAGCAAAAATTATTTGAGAAAAAAATATACAATCTATTATAGCGAAAGCAAGTGGTAGTTTATTATTGTACGTGGTTAACATTTTTTTTTTTTGCCAATGAAGAAATACATACAGGTTTAATTATAACTTGTATGTGTTACCACCGATTTATGACGTTTGGTAGGTAGTAACAGAATAAAAAATAAGGATCGGTTTATTAGTAGTAAGGTAATATAACGATGTATAACAATCGATAAGGTAAAAGTGTATATATGGATAATCAATAATGAATGATTATAAGCGATAATAAGTGATGTGATATGTTGAGGGTAGATCGGGTGGTGTGTGTACAAAGATAATTAATTATACGATGTATACAAAAATCAACGATGTATAGCAAAAATCAACAAAGGTTAATAAATGATAATGATAGTGAATGATAATAAACAATAATAAACAGTGTAAAAAAAATGTATATGGACAATACGGAAACAGATCGGCGGTTTATTAACAATGTAATGCCGTAGTATATCTAGTAAATTTATTAATTGTGAGGCGCAGTATTACATTTAGTCTTAGTGTATAAAATTTTAACTTATTTTTATTTTTATTTTAATTGGACCGAGAAGTCGTTAAACTAATAATCACATGGATTGAGGTAATTGGTCCGTGATGACCTTAAACTATTAGTCACGAGATTTAAGGATAAATGAAGATCCGAAAGATACTAAATTGAATGAAATCAAGTGATCTGAGATGTCAAGTGAGTAATTTGTTGATCACTACGTTAATATTATAAATCATAATTCAGGAGTTTATGATGATCAAATGGATACAAAATTAAGATAAATGGAAATACTTTAAAACAATGGAAATACTTTAATAATTTAAATCCATGAATTGAAATTATGAATTTAGTTACACAAAAACAAACATAAAAGGGCGTGAAGATCACCTTTTGGGAGAGGAATTGGACGAATTTTGTTATGAATTATTTATTTTATTATTTAATGTTATTAAACCAAGCATATTATTGTATTTATTTATATTATTAATAAAGAGTCATTTTGTTAATACCTGAGGTGGCAAACATAATTCTCTATGGGCTCAGGTGTTACAACAATGAAACAAAATACGATATTACTGCCTCTATCGACGCTCTGTAATATCCGTATATTATCGCTGATAATAAAACCTAACTAAACTTTTTTCTAAAACGAATTCAAACTAACTTTTTATTACTATCAACGACGGTCCCTTTTTATAATGTTAGGATCTTGGTACAATTCTGTCTTTCGGACATAATTGTCACCCGGCCAATATCGTCTCCCGGCGATCTGAGCACATTTGTCTATACAGCCACTTATATTCAGCCACTTTAAATCGCTAAGATTCCGCTTTTTATCTAATCTATAAACAATTAAAACAACTACAGGTAATATAACTAAAAATAACTAAAATAACTAAAAGATAAAAATAGAAAAAATAAATATCCCGTGAGGCCGTGACATATGCATCCGATCAGGCGGATCATGTGCATAGATCATGTGCGCAGAACATGTGTAACCAGGTAATAACTCAACCATTAAACCTTCACTTTTCTTTTAGGTCTTCTTTTAATTTTCGTAATCTTGAATATGGTTTATTTTTTCTTCATTAGATGAAACTAATAAATCAAGAATATTGGCCTTCTCTTTTTAGGTCTTCTCTTTATTAGGTTTACTACTCTTTGGCATCTTCTTTTAAGTATGTAGGTTGGGAGTGTGGGTGGGTGATATGTATTTTTGTGTATTCCTTCGCTCTTCTCTCGTTCCTTTCCTTTTCATTTTCCTTTATTTCTCGTTCTTTCCCTTTCCCCTTTCTTTCCCTTTTCCTTATCTATATCCTTCCTTATTCTTTCCCCTTTTCTCGCTTTTCTTTCCCTTTCCCCTTCCCTTTCTCCCCTCCCTCCTTTCTTTTCCCTTCCATTTCCCTTCCCTCCTCCTTTCCTCTCCCCCTCCCCTCTCTCATTTTCCCTCTTTTTCTTCCCCTTCCCCTTCCCTTTCTCATTCTCCCTCTATCCCTTTCCCTTCCTCTCTCTCCCCTCCTGATCAATGTCGCTGCACCTCAACGTTGGTGAACAAGTTTTTTTAAGATTTGGCTAACTGAAGTCAGCAACAAATAGTAACGATTTGTTCACTTTATTATTCCTTGACTATAATTATTATTCTGATTATTCAATTTTTAATTTCGCAAATATATTAATGTCTAAAGATTATTAATTATTAGATCTAAAATTTATTGAGATTTCAAATGAGACAAGTCATCAAGTTCAATTATATCTGATTTACATTTATTCAGATTTATGCCTAAATGTTCATCTTGTATTAAACATTTTATTATCAAAATTTCTACAGATATATAAATATTTGTATTAAATTCATTACTTTCTATATTTCATTCTGCGTTTAATTCAAAAAAGGACATATTTTCTATATTCTTTTCAATCATTTCACTCCTAAAGAAATTAATAATGCCAAAAATTAAATATTGATATTTAAGATCTAAAAGACTTAATTAATATTTAACTACATTCTTGCTGTTAGTTAACAAACTTTAGTCTGAAGTTAATTGGTTACACAAACAAAATTTCATCAAAAATTCACTTTTTCTCAAATTTTTTCAACAAATATACATAGGAAAGCAGCCAATCTAAAAAGTTAGTGTTATTCATATTAACTTTATATAAACAAAGTTTTTTTTTTTATCCAAATTATTAAAACAATTAAAATAATAATTTCAATTTTCGATCACACTAACTTGTTTGATTTTTAGGTTTGAAAATTTTTTTTCATCACATTGATATCGTTATTTTTAATAAACAAAATAATAATAACAATAATAATATTGTTTTACTGTAAAATAAAATTATTAAAGATATAATATTTTACTATCTTACTAGTATCACGAAAATTCGAACTTACTTTTTCTGTACTGCAATTTTCCCTCTTAGATTTATAAATGGACATGTCGTTCTAATGACTTAACAATTGGACTAAATCTTGTCATAAAATTTTTCCCATTTCGGTTGATAATGATGCAAGTTTACCATTGAATATATAGATGTCGTTTGATTCCGTACTTATCATGAAAAGTTTCTTTAGCTTGGTTGATAATGATGTAAATCCTGTAAAAAAAATGTCCATTCTAGATCTCATTTGTCGATCTAAAACATTTTTTTTTTATAAATACCACCCTTCATGATTTTAGCAATATTTTGGTATCATATTATTATTGAATAATAATTTTATCTAATTTACTATGGATCAGTCATATGCGGAAGAACAAATATATGGAAAGTGTATGAAATGTAAACAAGTAGACACATCACTCTTGTGCCAGGCTTGTGATTCAAATATGAAAGAACAAAATTATAAAAAGTGTAGAGAATGCAAACAAGTAAAACTAATAGATAGGGAGAAAACAATTTGTCATATTTGTTATGACAATATTAGAGAAAAAAAGTACGGAACGTGTAAAGAATGCAAACAATTAAATACTGGGCTGAATTGGTGTCAGACTTGCAATTCAAAAAGGTTCCAACAAAATTTTAGTAATTGGACTAGTGGTAATAATGATGTTGATAAGTTCATTCAAAATACTCAACTATCAGCAAAGAGTGAATATCATTTACTAGAATGGATACCTTATGATAGGTTTTATGATATTAAATATATTGCTAAAGGCGGATTTGGCGAAATATATAAAGCAATATGGAAAGACAGTTATATATCAAATTGGGATGTGAATAAACATAAATGGAAAAGACATTCACCAAATAAAGGTATAGTTCTTAAAAGTTTAAATAAATCAGAGAATATTACATTAGAATTTATCAATGAGGTATTACTAATTAATTTACGATTAAAATTTTTTTTTTTTAATAAAATTTTTAATTAATTTATTTTAACTAATTAGATTACGTTACATCTTAAAATATTTGAAGATAAATCAACAACTCAATTTATTAGATGTTATGGAATAACTCAAAATCCAGATACAAAAGACTATATCATGGTTATGCAATATGCAAACAGCGGAAATTTGCGAAATTATTATAATATTAGAAAGTCTCGACGGCGTCCAAAACCACGTAAAAGTTATACTTTTGATTATAAATTGAGACATAAAATTGCTACTTTAGGATATATTATATCTGGACTTAAGAGAATTCATGCAAAAGGATTAATTCATCGAGATTTACATATTGGAAATATTGTATGCTCTAGGAGTGCTATTTGTATAACTGATATGGGATTGTGTAAACCAGTAAATTATAAGGAATTAGAAAATATGGAAAATAATATATATGGTGTTTTGCCTTATGTAGCTCCTGAAATCTTAAGAGGACAACATTATACTCAAGCTTCTGATATCTACAGTTTTGGTATAATTATGTATGAGGTAATTTCAGAAATGCCACCTTACTATGACAATAATGATGACGGAATTTTAGCATTAAGAATCTGTGAAGGTTTAAGACCCAAATTTAATTTTAAAGTACCTCAGTTGATTTTACATTTGATTAAAAGCTGCTTAGATGCGAATCCGTTAAATCGACCAAATGCATTAATTCTTGCAAAAATTATTTTTAAATGGATTCATGAACTCAGTGCATATGTAAGTAGTATAGAAAATCAAACAGAATCAATTAAAACAGAAATAGTTAAACAAGTTGAAGAAGCAGAAAAAATAAATGATAGTTTATCAACCGATGATAAATTACCTTCAACAGATAAAAATTTTGAAGCAACTATAAGTAAATTACTTAGTTTTAATAATCTTCCTAAACCAAAAAATTCCGATGATTATTATAGTAATTATGATAATATATCAAGCATAGAATATTCAGGTATTTTAAAATCTTTACTTAATTATTTTAATTATTTAAGTTATTTATATCAATTCTAAATCTTTATAAAAGGTTCTCTGAAATCTAATAATACTGTTGATTGTTTGGATTGCGAAATCGTTGATTTGAATATAATGTAAGTTAATTATTTTAATGAAGTACAAATAATATTAAACCGGGGGGTTTTTTTTGACCAAAATGATTGTTAACGAATAGGATTATTTTAGTTTTTCTTTGATGTAATGTTTGTTCAATACCGATTCATATTTTAGAGTAAAGTAATCTTTTTTTCTTTTTATCAGCAATAAAATCAGTTTGTAATTGGGCAATAAATTTCATTATATCTTTTTTTGATCGATTTTATTATTGGATAAGAGAATAATTCAGCTTATTTATCATGTTTTACATAGTAATCAAGTTTAGTTATACCAAGTTGTATTTGAGATATAAGCAAGTTTGGGTTACAATGGGAAGTTGCAAAATATGAGCCAGATCATTATGAATAATTATGATTATAATTCGTGTCAACTTTCGTAAGCGACAACTTTTTCCTCAATGCGCAATGAATCGCTTTGATTTTCCATAATTATCGATCGGTATATATAGTAATAAAGGAAGTCGATTTAAAATTTCATACTATCATAAATGTTTTTGATTCATTCTTACTAAAATTATATTAGTTCATAAAAATACTATTAAGCCTTAGTCTTATCAGAAATCAAGTGATGCATGCAGTGTAATAAGTTACCTTAAAAGTTAGTTCCCGAAAACCGAATTAAGTTTAATAACAGTCAGCATTTAAGCGGCGCTCACACGATTTTCATTTTTCATCATAAAAATCACGTTACTAATTATTATAATGCAGTTTTTTATGCATAATAGAAAATCAAAATAATAAAATGATATAGACGATTAGTGAAACAAACGTTGAAACACAATGGTTTGGATGAAACCATAAAAGGATGTATAATCGGTGTTTAAAATCCGAAATTTTAATATAGATTACGATGATCGTTAAAAAAAAAATTCGTGTCTAATACACAATCTGTTAAAGATCGTTCCGTTTCAAACAAAAAAATATTTTAAATTTTATCTATCGATTTTTAAACGATACTTTATATTGTTATTTTTTTTTTTTTATGTGTAAAAAAAACCTATTCCCAATCTTGTTCGTTTATTGTAAATCGGAATTTTTTTTCCGATAACCCTAATTGGAATTTAAACAATACAAATAAACTAATTGATTAATCTAAATTAGTGAAGGAATACAGAAACGGTTAGATTTTCCACGCCAAACAATTGATTTATTGTAACTCTTTTTTGAAAAAAAAAAGTCTTTCTTTCCAAAAATCAATTTGAGAATTAATATTATACGCTAACAATTATTTATCATGTATAATGATGAATGGGTTGAATGGATTAATGAAGCTATTTCTAAACAACATATTAAATATTATGATCATGAACATTTTCTAATATTAAAGTAATTGGTGCTGGAGCATTTGGAAAAGTATTCCGTGCAAATTGGAAACATGCTCCTAGATATTTTGCATTAAAATCTTTTTTTTAACTCGATACCGCAGTATTTAAAGAAATTGTTCAAGAGGTAATTGATTTATTTATTTATCATTAATATTGTATTTCGGACTACTATTTTTTTTTTCGAGTTGTAAATCCCATTATTTTTATTTATTTATATGATTTAGCTTAAACATCAACGTGAAGTTGATTTTCACGAGAATATTATTCGTTTTTATGGAATTACAACTGATCAAGGTAAAATAATATATAATAATACCGATGTAATATAATAATACTGTATATGTATCACTCTTATATAAATAAATTAATATAAAAAATTTTCTCTTTAATTAGATAAAAATTATATATTAGTAATGGAGTATGCCGATGGCGGTACTCTTAGAAACTTTTTGAAGGAATATTTTAGTAATCTCAATTGGGATGATAAATTCAATTTAGCACTTCAATTGGCTTATGCTGTGGTTTGTTTACATGATGAAGGAATTGTTCATCGTGATTTGGTAAGTTAATTTATATTATCTGTTATATCATTAATTGTTAATAATTACCATTACGACTTATATCTATATATATCTATTATTATTATTATTATTAGCATTCCGGTAATGTATTAGTTCATCAAAATAATGTTATTAAGTTAGCAGATTTTGGATTATCAAAAAGAATCGAAGAAGCATCTACTATTAACTCAAAAATATTTGGAATGATTCCTTATATTGATCCAAAAAGGTTTGATAGACAAATAAATGATAAAAATCAAATACAAATATACCAATTAAATGAAAAAAAGCGATGTTTATAGTGTTGGGATATTATTATGGGAAATATCCAGCGGTATGATTCCTTTTCATAATGAACCATATGATATTAGTTTGATCATGGGAATCTCACAAGGTTTTAGAGAAACACCTGTTCCTGATACTCCTATTGCTTATACTAAGCTTTATACTGGTAAGTATATATAATAATTTTTCAAACATTCTTATTTCAACATTTACACTAAAAATTAATTTTTTATAGATTGCTGGAATGGAGAACCAGATAATCGTCCAACTATGAATAAAGTGGTTGATCAATTGAAATTATTATTATCTCACGAAACCATAGGAAATGATCAAACAGATAATTTGGAAGATATTGTACATGATAATACTACTGAACAACAATCATTTAATTCAGATAATATTATTAATTCTTCTACTTCTTCTACTGGTTTTAGTAATTTGGCTACATCTGAATTAGTGAAATGTTTAAAAACACCGTTAAGTAATATAATTAATGGAACATTTAAATATATTTTTATGAAATTAAATGAAGGGAAAGAGTTGAAAGAAAATATTCTTGATGGTTGTTACAAAAATTATAACATTGATTCGAAAGAAATTTATGATTGGTTAATAAATAATCAAAATGATTCGGATTCAAATTCTATCTTTTTACTTGGAAATTTTAGGAATTGGTACCGAGATTAATAAGGGAAACGCTATTGAATTATATGAGAAAGCGGCAAATTTAGGGAATAGTATAGCTCAATATAATATAATCTAGCTCAAATGTATAAAATGGGTGAAGGTGTTAATTTAGATTATGAGAAACCCTTTAAATTATTTGAAGAATCTTATAAAGGAGAATATTTAAATGGAATATTTATGCTTGGATATTGTTATAGTAATGGAATCGGAACTAGCGTTGATAGGCATAAGGCATTTGAATTATATGAAAAAGCAGCTAACTTAGGGCATAATGTGGCTCTGCGTAATCTTGCTCTTATGTTTAAAGAGGGAAAATTATTGATAAAAATTATGGCAAAGCTTCCGAATTATTTAAGAAATTATATAAGATGTACCTGTTTCGCGATAATAATCAGTATTCCTTTTTATATAATTCTTTATTGGAGTAGCGCCATTTATGAAGATATCAATGAATCAGAAGAAATTCAACAGGAGTTCCTCAAAGCAGACGCTATAATAAATAAACTTAAGCCCTTGGGTGAACAATCAGTTATTCAATTTTTAGCGGAGTGCATTCAAGAGGAATCATTTAAGAATCAGTTACATGAATTCATAAAACGCTCAAAAACTGATGAATCTTTTCAAAATGTGGCAGCCAATGCCATCACATTACTAGTTAAAGCTGGAGTGCAATTTAAGGGAGCTGATTTAAATGGGATCCGTATACCGGGAGCTGATCTTAGTTATGGGATGTTCGATCATGCACAATTTCAAGGGGCCGATTTAAGAAATGTCCACTTACAAGGAGCATGGCTTCAAAAAGTAAATTTTAATCATGCCAATATGACTGGAGTAGAATTTGGTGAAAACCCTTTTTTAGTATTAAAAAACTTGGATACCGGTTATCATAAAGCTGATCATGATGGTATTTCTTGCTGTTATTCCCAAAATGAAAAATTTTTAGTAGGAGCTACTAGAGACACTATTATACTTTATAATGCTGAAACTTATTAAGAAATATGGAGATCATACGGTGAATTAGATAGATATGTTTATGTAAATGATTTGAGCTGGAAGGCTTCTGTTTCAATATCATCAGATGGATCATTAATAGCCTTAGAGAGATGGAACAATACTATTGGTCTTTGGATAAATAGGAATAAAGAATCATTCACTTATGAAAAATTTGCAGATTTTGAAGAACATACAGATAAAATTTTAAGTGTTTCGATTTCACCTAATGGTAAATATGTTGTTTCAGGAAGTAGAGACCGTACTGTTCGTTTATGGTCCGTAAGAGGGAAAAGACTATTTCATGGATTTAAAGAACATAAAGGCGATGTTAACAGTGTTTCATTTTCATCTAATAGTAACCTCATTGTTTCAGGAAGTATGGATAATATGGTTTATTTATGGTCCGTAAATGAGAAAAAATTGGTACACGTGTTTAAAGGACATAATGGTGGTGTTAGCAGTGTTTCATTCTCTCCAAATAATGAATTTATTGTTTCGGAAAGTAAAAATGGTATGATTTGCTTATGGTCGATAAAAGAGAGAAAATTGTTACATACATTTAAAGCATATAAAGATGAAATTTCTAGCACTTTATTTTCACCTAATGGTGAACTTATCATATCAGGAAGTTGGGATTGTACAGTAAATTTATGGTCGTGGTCAGTAGAAGAGATAAAGTTGTTACATGTATTTTGTGGTCATACTGATAGAGTTACTAGTGTTTCAAGTAATAGTAATTATGTTGCATCAGGAGGTATTGATGGAAAAATACGTCTATGGTCAATAAAAAATAAAGAAAAATTCACACATAGTTTAGGACGGGTTTTAATCAATGATGAATTATTTTCTCCAAATGAGGAATGGATTGTTGATAGTTTTGGAATCCTTCGAGGTCTTCATTCATCAGATTATTGGCCTGCATTTTCTCCTGATGGTAAATTTATTGCCTTAGGAAGAGATAATCTTATTCATCTATCTACAAAAGAAAATCAAAATCCATTTTTTACTTTTGAAGCTGAAGAATTACTAGAATGGAAATTTAATTGTATTTCAATTTCACCGAATAGTGAATTCATTGCAGCAGGACCTTGGATTGAGGGAGGATCTTTAGGAAATTATTATGGCATAAAACTATTTTCAGTGAAAGAAAGAGAATTGGTTCATACTTTTCGAGGGCATGAATGGCAAGTTAATTGTGTATCATTCTCACCTGATGGAGAATTACTTGCTTCAGGAAGTTGGGATAATACCGTGCGTTTATGGTCACTAAAAGAGAGAAAATTATTGGCTACCTTTAATCATCAAATATCTTTCGGTCACGAGAGACCCTGCATAGAATGCGTTGCATTTTCTCCTGATAATGAATTTATTATAACAGGAGGATGGAATTATACAGTAACTTTATGGTCAATAAAAGATTCTAACAAACCACAGAAAATTTTTGATGAGCATAAAAATATAATATGTGATGTTAAATTTTCTCCTGATGGTAAATTAATCGTATCAGCAAGTCGTGATTGTACTGTACGTATATGGTCAGCATCATCTGACAGTAAATCCTTGGCAGTTATTCGAGGTTTTATAGGTTGTGTATCTCATATAGCATGGAATAAGACATCAGAAGGATTATTTCTACACACAATTAATAGTAGTGAAAATGTTGGTAATGGAAATAAATTTTATCGTTACTGGCAGATAGAACAAGATGGTCAAGATGGTCAAGATGGTCATAAATTACAAGTTAAATTACGTTGGGTTCCTTATCAATCAGCGTTAACAACATATAATGCACGTATTCAAAATGTAAATGGTTTAAGCCCAATGAATGAGAAACTTTTAACACAATATGGTGCCAAAAGGAAAGAGTAGTATTTTTTTTAGGAATAATTTTTGATAGTTATTTGAAAAATGTAATTGTTTTAAAAATCTTTTCTTTTTTTGTAAATAATTTAATATGAGGGTAATTTTTTTTAAAAGAAAAAGTAAATAATTTAGAGTATAAATTATCTCATAATTTAATATTAATATGTAAATAATAATAATATTGGATTTTTCGTGTTCAATTTTAATTTATAAAGTATAAACTCTTAATTCACTAATTTACTTTATTTATATAGCATCAATATTTTGATAAATCAATCCTACTGAAAATTTTATTATGTTAAATGAAAATTTATTATAATTGGAATTTTTTTTTAAAAAAAAAATTCCAAACACTTGGCCAAATGCCCAAATCAAATATCACTTCACTATAAAATCCCGCTCAATGTATATATTAAAAAAAAGCTATTAAAAATTAACAATTTTTATTAATACAGTAAACCTACGCCCTTTTTCATAACATTTCTTTTTAAAAAATCCCTTTTTCTTGCTTTTTCTTTGTTCTCTTTATAGGAGTGCAGAATAGGTTGGGTTTAAATAAGACAAAACAAAGATTATTAATTTTTACATGGGATGTACAGACATGGTATGACAACTATGAAATATAATTGATGAAAATAACTCTCCCGCTCCCCACATCCCCACAGTATAGGATAGAAGAGGTGACACTGAAAAATTTCCTAGACGACTATGAAATATAATTGATGACAAATAACTTTTCCGCCCCCATAGTAAAGAATAGAAGAGGTGACACTGAAAAATTTCCTAGGCTCTAAATCCTAACATTGAAACCTCCAACACTATAATCTAATACTTAACCCAAACGCAAGACCTAACACTAAACCATTACACTAAACCCTAACACTATTCTAACAATAATATTCGAAACATTTGTTAAATAATAATAATATTTCTGCTGTATTAAAACTTAACGCTGGTTTCAAAAGCAGATAGGATAATATACCCATTTATATTTCTGATTTTTTCCATATATCAAGTAAGAAGGAGTAGTAAAAGTCCACATTTTCTGGGTCCATCACACATGCATTCCTGGTACGCTAGTTTTGCTCAAAATAAATTTAATTGATTCTAATAATAATTATGGTTATATCTATGGTATTTATCGTATTTATCATGTACATCGGATACGGCTGTAAGAGTATATAGTCGTTTAACCTTTAAACGAAAGATGTTGTAACTTTGTAGTGTTTCTTCTTGTAATAATAATTCAGAATAAATCATCGATAGAGCTCTTATTCGCTCTTATTCTAGAACCACTAGTACGATGATTCAACAGATAACAAATTCAACAATATTGTCTTTCTCACAAAATCAAATCCTTGCTGCTTTCTTTTCATCATAGTAAGACAGTTATAATCCTATAAAATTCTGTACTAATTTCATCCTTATCCTTTTTCTGATCAATATCACTGTGCCTTAAAGATTTTTCCTAAATTTTTTTAATCGTAAATTCGTAATAAAAGCGTCGGCTATTTAACAATAATATATATAAATTTCCCTATGTGTTCGCTCCATAATGCAGTTCCATTTTGGTATTCGAACAAGAGAAATTCGGTTTTATTCTGTTCTACGGTAATTAAGAAACCGGTTTGTTGACTTTAGACATTCATGTTTATGTTACACGTTTAGGAGTGTGAATTTATTTATTTGGCGTTTTTTTTTTGTGACCCTAATTTAATCACGTGAAATTGGCGAAAAAAAAAATGCAAATGCTGTAGACTAGTATGATATTGCGTAAAAACGGTAAACCGGTATTACTTTTTTTATGATCAGCCGGAAATTTTCCAACATTAAACAACATTAACTGCGCTACAAATTTTTTTGTTTTGTTCTTGGTTAACAATTTAATTAATTGTAGAAAAATTACCGCGTGGACTTGTACAAAATATATACAAAAATAATATATACAAAATACAAACAATATTTAAATTTAATGCATATTTAACCCATGATCATGAGAAAAAAAAGAAAAAAAAAATTTAATAAGCAAACAAATTTTTCTAGATAAATTCCTACGTTACATGAAAAAAAGAAACAACAACAACTAATTTTATTTATCCCTTTTTTTTTTTTTTCAAAAAAACTTTTTTGTAAATAATAATAATAATATAACGGGAGAATTCATTCAACCGCTAGAAAAAGCTAGAAATATTTAAATATGGTAAATATGAAAAATATGGGTAAAATACTTGTTAAAATATGCAATATGATCATCATCTAACAAAATAATGATATTGTTATTTATTTGAGACGAACAGATAACAATTCAAGTAAAAGGGTAATGATGAAAGAAAATGTCGTCTTACATTAATATTAATATCGTTAGAACGAAAGACCAGATTATTTAAAAAAATCGTTATTGGTTAAGTACATTTTCAAGTGTAATACAAAATAAGCTACTGCGGAATTAAATCAATTGTTAATATATAATATTTTTTTAAAAAAAGTAAAGGCCGAAAATTTCAAATGAATAATCCGGTCACAATATAGTAAATAATCCATATTCTTTTTTAAGATATTCCCGTAACCCGATACTAAAATCATTAATAATAATATATCCATCAATGTTCATTACAACAATCGATAACATGTGAATATATAAAGTAGATCTTAATTAAAGAAGGAATTATGTGGCTGGCATTATTGTATTTACTAAATAAAGCTGTACATTGAAGAAAATGAATATACAATATTATTCGAAATAAGAGAATGAGAAAAGAATATTAAATAATAATAATAACAAAAAAATCTATCTCTCTCTCTTAACAAGGCAAAGAAGAAAAGATAAGAAAGATAAAATATAAATGGTCGTTCATTCAAAGGAAACAATGGTCCTGTTTTGTAAAAGGCAAAAACAAAAGAACTATGACAAAATTTTTTAAGGTTCAATCTATTATTCGTAGAGTGAGTAACCAATAATGGTTAAATTACCTTATTCTTTTTAGATCCTGCGAAATTTTCATCACGAAATGTATTGTTTGTTAATTAGTCTGTTGCAAAACCAAAGGTGCATTAGGAGCAAATTCGATTCAGAATTACTCTTACATATTCAACGTTCATTGATTTATTTTAAATTGTACAGTATTTTAATAGTAAACACTTCTGATAAAAATGGAAGTGAAGTGGCTTTGAAAAGAAAATTTTCGGAAAATAGTCCGAAAATAGAACTACAATTTATATGATTCCACGTTTAATAAACTTACAGTAAAGTTGGCTTTTTAGATTCCACGTGATGTATTAAGATTTATCAGCGGAAATCCCCATTATGTTTATGACTATATATAAAATGACCGTGCTCTCTTCTTTTTGCTCCAAAATTTTTTCGAAAAAAAAAAATTTTTTTTTTTTTTATTTTTTTTTACACATATATATAATTTTTTTTTTCAAACCTGCAAATCGTGCTTATTAAAACGTTTCATCTTTCTATTATATATATATATATATAAAGACCAAATTATAGACTAAACACAAAAAAAAACACATGTATTAATATTTTAAAAAGAAAATTGTACCACTTAAATCCACTCGAGACTACTTTAACAAACAAATCTATCAAAGACGCATTATTATTCGTACAAATTATCTGCAACTTACAAATTATAAACTACAAATTATACACGAAAAGGTAATAATATTTTTTAATATTTTTTATTTAAGCTGAATGACCTATTTTTTTAATTATTTTTTATTAATCGTTTTATATTTGTTTTTAATTTTTACATTCCTTTATTTCTTCCGTTTCATTTTTCTTTCATTCATACTTTTCTCTCTCTATCTCTTTCATTCCTTTTATATTATTTTTTATCTTTTCACGAAAAAAATATTCACATTCATCAAATCTTTCCATATCTTTCCTTTTTTTTCTCCCCTCCACCCCTTAAACCGCGCATAATAAACATCAACAACGTATATCTCCTACTATTTATATCATTCATTACTTCCCGATTTACCGATTTATCCTAATTGTGAATATTCAAACAAATTTTGAAACAAATTCTTTTTTTTAAAAAAAAAAGTTTCAATAAAAGTATATTATCAAATATCAAATTTTAAATTGTTTGGTTCTATTATACGGTTTCAAAAAACTTTTATTTTTTCTATAATAAAAGTTATTTTTTAACGACTAAAAAGAAAAAAAGAAAAAGAAAAAAAAAAAAAAAAAAAAAAAAAAAAAAAACAAAACATAAATAAAAGTAACTTTCAAATATTCACACATATACACAAATAACCATGGGTTCCCCAGTGGTCGATTTACCAAAAAGTACACCACCTCGTCACCAATCCATTCCTGTATTATATACCACAAGTCCTTTTAATGGTACCATAAATACTGAATACGACCCAAGACCTGTCTCTAGAGGTTTTACAATGCCGTCTCCCGGTTCTCCTGGGAAACGTGGTTACAAAAAACCCGCAAAACCAAGAGAATTTGCTAAAAGTGCAAAGAAGAGACAAAGTGTACTTGCTTTGGGTTCTATTACTCATTTACAACATTTTTACGCTAAACGTGGTATAATTATAAAACCAAAAAAACCAAAGCATTTGTAAGTATTCCATTCTTTTTTATATATTTGAATTTTCATTTATTTCAATTTATTTATATCTAATTAATTATGTTAATCAGAGAGGAAGCTGAAAAGAAATTGAAGCTTAGTATAAATACGAATGTTACTGATTTATTAGAAGTAACAGAGGAACCTGATGAAGATTTCCCTCCAACTCCACTTCCACCTTCACCACCACCACTTCCAGCATATCTCACTTCAAAATTAGATGTGGAAACGGATCCTGATGTATTACTTGCTACATGTCATGCTGATATTCAAGCCATGATAGACGCTTGGTGTATGGTAACCGGTGAAGTTAAAGCTGAAGCGAATCCAGTATCTGTTGATATATTAGCAGCTATTGAGACCACCACAAAAGCTGTACAGTCCGTTAAAAATTATTCAATGTTTAAAGAAGATTTATCAGCTGAATCATTATCAAGAATCCGTGCTACTACTTTAGAAGTATTAGAAATGATTAGTAATTTAGAAGAATCTCACAGAGATGAAGATGATAGTAGTAGTGAAGATGGTCATTTATATAAAGAATCAAATTTTCATTCTTTAGATCGTCAACGTAATATTTTAACGAAATATTTAGAAGTGGTTGAGGAATGTTTATTATTTGATGATACAGATTTATATCCTCCAAATACTTCTTATTTAAGACCTTCATCAGTAAGTTCAGAGGAAGATTTGAAGCAAGGAGTCGCTGCCATTACTCCTCCTTTATCACCTGGTCATCCAAATAATGATTGGGTAAACCCTGATGTATTTGGTGATGTTGTTATAACCAGATATCATGCTTTCTTGGAAGCTCATCGTCCTTCAAAATCAAAACAATTACCTGATTACACTCCTTTACCAGATCCTAGTGTCGATAAAACCGAATTCTTGGCTTCATTAGCGTGAGTATTATTAGTATTATTCTAACACTTTTTTATTTAAAAAAGTCATTACCATTTTTTTATTTAAATTGTTTTCTTTCTTCAAAACAGAGACGGTAAATTATTATGTATTATTTATAATACGATAGTAAGACGATCAAAACGACCATTTGGATTCATTGATAAAATACATGAGGATACATCAAGAACTTATCGTGCTACTGAAAATTTGAAATTCTTTGCAGCGTAAATATCTTTTTTTTTTTTGCTTAAAACTTTTGGTACGCCGATAATTGTATATTAAAAAATATATATGTTGTATATATATATATTTTTAGAGCCGCCAAATTTAGATTTGAAATCAAATTTGACGAATTTAATCCAACAGAGATTGTCAAATTAACAAATATTGGAAGAGCTCAAGTAAGATATCTTAATATTTAATATTTGCAATTCCTTTTTTTTTTATTTCGTATTTTCATATTACTTACTTTTTCTTTCCACGAATATATAGCTTGAGCGAATTCTTGAAATATTTTGTGAAAAAGCCATGGAAGAACTTATATCAACAGGCTCTTATAAACAATATCCTATGTCAAGAGTAGCAAGTATGTATATGCAGGATGTTTTTTCAAATTCACAAATGCAATTACTTCAACAAGCGACAAGGAATTCAGCCAATGGAAATGGAAATCTTGACTTGGCAGCAGCTGTATCAGCTAAATTAAACATCAGCACACCAAATTCAAATTCGGCTTCAACATCAACAAGTACATCAAGAAAGAATAGTCAGGATAGTTCATAGTTAAATTTCTCGGGTTTTCTCAGGGTAAAATAATGTTTTTTTTTTATAAAAATTTTTGGGTATGAAATTGGACATTTTATTGTAATAAAAAAAATTAATATAGAGAATGAAAAATTTAGTTGTATAAGTGATTATTATTAGTCTTTTAATTTAATTAATTATCTTATATATATATATATATTATTATTACTTATTTATTATTTATTATTTATTTCTCGCTGGCCGGATATGAAAAGAATATATTCTTTATATATTTTAGTCGTTATTTATTTATTTATGAAGATTATATTTTTATTTGCATATTTTTTTTATCATATCATTATGATTTAAAAAACAACATTACAAAAAAAAAAAAAAAAATCAAAATTGAGATGATTATTAAATGAACACTTTTTTTTGTATAGTTTTTTATTTTATTATTAATTATATCTTGAGATGAAATGGTGGGTTTAATGAAAGATCGAATTATCTTTGGTGGGTTTTAGGTTATTAAAAAAAAGAGAGGCTATAAAAATTTTTTTCTTCGTTTACTAGTTAATTGGATTAGGAATATATATAGCCTTTGAAAAAAAAAAAATATATACGAGAACGGTGAAGTGGGAGCGGTGAATAGGCTTAAATAAAATATTCGTGTAATATTCGTGTATTTTATTATTATTATTATAAATTATTTTCAGGTAAAATAAAACGAAAACAAAAAGTTAATTAAACAATAAATTACACCTTTATTGAGCAGTATAAGAATTTTTTTTTTTGAATGGATTTCCCGAAACAAATATTAACTTTAATTGAGAATAAATAAATAATTTATTTTCATTCAAATCATTTGTTTTTCATTTAATTTTAAACAATTACCAATTTGTTTTTATGCATTGAAAATTAATACAATTTTTGTCAATCATTATCTAGAAATTTCCTTAAAATGCTTAAAATGGATAATATAATCAAAATAATACACTAACGTTTTATAAAGCATGTATTACTTTTAGAACTGAATTGTTATTTATATGAAATTTACTTATTATATAATCCGCTTATCCTAACTTGAAACACTTGGCCTAATTCAACTTATCAAACTAACACTCACCTAACCTAAAGTAATACTTACCTAACCTAAAGCTTACCTAACCTAATTTAAATATATTGACTAATTAATATATTGATGATGATTATTGTCAATTTTTTTTTTATTATAATTTGATATACAGAATATACAGAATAAATTTAATTATAAATATTAAAATATTAAAATATTGCAAAACAGTTCAAATGATATACTTATTAAAAATTATAAATTATTTTATAACTGATTTTTATTACAAAATAAAATATTTATATAAATTAATAATAATATTTAATAGTAATAATTACTTTACAATAATTTTAATAATTTTTAAAAATTATTATATAATTAAAAGATAAATAAAAAATAAATTTATATTAAAAAATATTAAGTAATAATTTTAATTTAATTTTTATAAATATAAAATATGAAAAAATAGATTTAAAATAATTTGCCATTAATTTACGAGATTTTCATTAATAATTATTACATTTAATAATATAAATATAAATTTTTTTTGGTATCTGCAAGATTTTCATTAATAATTACATTTAATATAATTATAAATTTTTTTGGTATTTGCTAGATTTTCATTAATAATTACATTTAATATAAATATAAATCTTTCTTTGATATTTACAAAATTTTCATTATTAATTAATATAAATATAAATCTTTTTTGATATTTGCAAAATTTTTATTAATAATTATATTTAATAATTAATAATATAAATATAAATTTTTTTGATATTTGCAAGATTTTCATTAATTACATTTAATAATATAAATATAAACCTTTAATAATTACATACCATATTTTTCTAAAATTAGTTACTTCTTGAAATTAAATACCTCTACTAACTTTTTGTATTTTGATAAAAAGATTTTTATATAAAATACTAGTAAAAAAACTTCCAAAATTAAGCACCTTTCCAAGTTTTTAACCAAAATCCTTGTAAAATAAAAAGGGGTGATTAATTTTGGAAAAATACAGTAAATATAAATTTTTTTTAGTATTTGCAAGATTTTCATTAATAATTATGATCCAGTGTAAAAAGATATGTATCTTACTAAAAAAAGATAAGATTTACACTAAAGAAAATTTTATATAACTAAGTATAATAGACTAAAATTTACATATTTATTAGGATATAATTGTTTGAATTTGCTACTAAAATTTTTTTATTAATATATGATACTTTCTTCTTTCTCAAAATAAAGAGGTGGACCATTAGTTGACAATAAAAAATTAATAATATTAAGTATGTACAATTATTTTCTAAGACTAATTTTACAAAAGAAAGTTATCTGAAGCTTAAATTACATAAGTGAGTTGCTGAAATACTGGATGTACTAAGAATACAAATTGGAAGCATTATATTAGACTTAAATAAATGCAGTAACAACACATTTATACCATATAAAACACTTGAATGGCCTATAGGATCCAGAAATATATATAAAAAAGTCAGGTTTGGATTTGCATATTTTAAACTAAAAAAATCATAAAAATCTTTCCTTTTTTTAAATAATTTTTGATAATTCCAGTCTAAGGTTGCCTGCCTAAACCTCTCCAAAATTCTACGATTAGTTTTTCCAAAAATTTACTATAGTTTTATTATAGTTTTGACAAGGTTTCAGCAGTTTCAGCATTTATAATAAGTTTCGCCAGATTTCGCTTTTCTTTAGAGTTTTGCCAATTTTTTAATAAGACTTTTATATAGTTTTAGCAAAGTTTCACCATTTTGGCATTTTGCCAACTTGCTAAAACTCCCTAGTTTCTTCAGCAACCTTATTCCAGTCAGTATTTTATTTTCCATTATAGTAACTGATTGATATTATTATGATTCTAGCCTTAAAAAATAAAAAAAATGTGTACAGTTTATAGTAAAAAATTTTTTTCACTACCTGATTCCTATATATATATTTCTGGATTCTTGGCTTATTTCAATTTTAATCACAGAAAAATAGAAAACTTTCCTAATGAATACAAAAACTAAAACTATTGGAACTGATTTAAATATACAAGAAAAAATTGTTATTTTTTTTGTATTAAAATAGCAAAACAATATGATTATGAAGTTTTTATATACTTATCATTATAAATTCTAGCCAATTAAAGATATTTGGACAGTTGTAAACATAAGATTGCAAAATTAAGTTTACACTTAAATTTGTTGTTTATTTGAAATACATTTTTGAATGCATTTAAAAATAAAATTAATTTAAAATTTATAATTAAATTTTAAAGTAAGTATTTAAAATACTAATGCATATTTTGAGGCTGACAAAAATATAATTAAGGCTGTACTAATTCAATTTTTCGTTTAACATAACCTTCTCTCTGTTTTTGGATTTTTTATGTAAAAAAAATACATGTAATTTAGACTAGAATTAGGCAAATCTTTAAGTCTTAGCCGGAATTATCATCCAAATTTTTGCTCACTCTTTTGGTCAAAATTTTGATCAAAATTAGTGGTAATTCTGGCTATATATTTATTTTATGTATTATTTTTTGTTCCCTCCCTCCCCCTAGATTGAAACCCCTATATTATATTAAACAAAGAATTGGCTTGGAGTGGTCTAATTGATAAAAAATCTGATAATTATAGTGAATCTGATGATAATGCATGATTTAGTATAATAATAATATTATAATATTTCTAAATATATACTGATGAAATTTATATAAAAAAAATAAAGTTTATTAATAAAAAAATTTTTTATTGCATTTTTTTTTTGAGGTACAAATCTTTTTTCATTGAATTATACATACATTTAAATATTTAATAATATAAATATAAATTTTTTTTTGAAATTTGCAAAATTTTTATTAATAATTATATCTAATAAATTTTTTTTAGTATCTGCAAAATTTTTATTAATTAACATTTATTAATATAAATATAAATCTTTTTTAGTATTTGCAAGATTTTTATAATAATTATATTTAATATAAATCTTTTTTGATATTTGCAAGATTTTCATTAATAATTACATTTAATATAAATCTTTTTTGGTGTTTACAAGATTTTCATTAATAATTACATTTAATAATATAAATATAAATCTTTTTTTGGTATTTGCAAAATTTTTATCAATAATTAAATATAAATTTTTTTAATATTTGCAAGATTTTCATTAATAATTATATTTAAAAATATAAATATAAATTTTTTTTAATATCTATAAGATTTTTATTAATAATTACATTTAATGATTTAATAATATAAATATAAAATTTTAATTATATAATTTAAATAAAATTTAAACTAGATCAATTGGATTTTTTTGTTTTTATTGAAAAAAAAAATAGAAAAAAAAGCTAAAAATAATTTCCAAAATTTTTTAAATTATTATTTACTATTAAAATTTTAAAAATATAAAGAAAATAATCTAAAAATTAGTATTTTGTCCTGCTGGATGGATATAGCTTATGATAATTTGTTTGTATGGTATATAAACTTAATATCAATAAAGCATATATAAATCATTAAAAAAAAAAAAAAAAAAAAAAAATAATCTAAAAATTAGATTTCTATAAAAAAGAAATATTATATAAAAATTTTTGAATTCTACTATTTATTATTAGTAGCAATACTATAGCAATTAGTAAATAATTATTTATTGTCATACTTTTTAAGTTTAATTATTCTAATCTAAAATTGCTTGTTAAAATTAGTGAATTTTATCATATTGAAATTGTTAAAATTATTTTTTTATTTTGATATTTGTATTTTAGTTAATTTTATTAATTCTAATTTTAATCTTAATTTTACTAATTTCTAAATTTTACTATAGAATTTATATATTTAAGTATCACCATATAATTATAAATAAATATTTCTAAAATTTTTTTAATATTTATATAAAAAAATTTTGCTTTTTTTAGTATTTATTTAAAATTAAAACTTTCAAAAAAAGGAGATTTTATTTATCTAATCTTATTTAAATATAAATTAATTGCATAAATTTGTAGATCTAAAAAAAAAATACCAGAATAATTTAGCCTATTTTTTTTAATATTATATTTTTAATATAATAACTGTTTTATAATTAATATTAATGGTTTAAATTTTTAAATTACAATATAATAAAATTCAAAGTATAAATTCATATTATATTTTAAAATTTTTTAATAGTTAAAGTGTTCTATTACAGTTCAATATACTTGACCATTTATCATGTGATTATACACATGGTTTGCAACTTTGCATGCAAAAATCCTTAGGTTAAAAATGATTGGTTGCACGTGATCACAAACCGGCTGAGACAGAAGTACTACTCTTCATCTCCGTTCTTACATCTAATTACATCTATAAGGACAAAATAAGAATTTAATCGTCATATCATATCTTCGCTTAAAATACTTTTTTCTTTTGGAAGAAAAGAAGAGAAAAAAAAAAAAAATCTTTAAAAGAAATATATACCAATCAAAAGGGAACAAGTTAAAATGTAAAAGGAATAAACCAATTTCCCCTTTAATAAATCATTATGAAAAAAAAGGAAAAAATATATATATGTATGCATATGTATCGATTGTACTCATTTTACTATTGTATAATATATATATGAGAAATTTTTTTGTTCTTTTAATTTGTATGAAAAAAAATTATCGATTCTTTAACATGTGAAACAAAGTGTCGCGCTTTTTTTTTTTACAATTAGTATCAAAAAGAATTGGAATTATCCGATTAATCCAAGGTTAATCAAAAAAAAAATAATAATTTTCCTTTTTTTATTTTGTATCAACCGAATTTTTTCTTTTTGAAGTAATCATAGTGTAATCAATGATGTTACCACAATATCAATAATCAATTATTAGATAATTATTTTTTTTTTTTTTTTTGTTTGTTTGAAACAAGGTACGGTAACTTTAATAAAAAACGCGAAAAGAAAATTTTTTTTTTTTCCCTTTGTTATTTTTAGAATAGTTACTTATTGTTCTATCCCAAAAAGAAATAAATTTCTTTTTAGCGGATTGTGTTACAAAATTCAAAGTTTTAACAATCTAATAAATGAAATGCAAATGCCATGTTTGTAGAGAAAGTCGGTACGAAATACATTACATCTAAATATGTTCAATTACCAAACCCCCCTAATAATAATGTTCTATTATTTAAACAAAGTAACAAACGTATAATTATATCATATAACATTCTTTCTGTTCAGTCTATTCGGCTATTCATCCTTTATTACTGTACTTGCAAAGTGCTCAATGCTGCTGTACATTTGCACATTTGCTGATAAACAATTATACAGTGCACTACACTATATATATAGTACTTTATATATTATTATTATTATAATAACTCCATTATACTGCTTATATTATTTAATTATGATTCAATCTACAACCTAGTTAAGTAATTAGTGTGAAGGGTTTAAGGGTTTAAGTAATAACCTTTTATAAAGTACACAGCTGTGTCTGTGTCTGTTCGCCATTTAATAAAAAAAAGACATATAAAACCTAATAGGGGAAGAGGCTATTCATCAGCCATTCATTCATCTGTATATAAAAAAAGACATCTTTTTTTTTATCTTCTTTTTTTCTATTTAAAAAAAAAAGAACGGTATATATATAAAAGTAAAATAAATCGATTAAAAAATTTTTTTCTTCTTGTACAAAAAAAAAAAGATCTTCTTTCCCCTCTCCTCTTTCCGTTCAAAAAAAAACATTTTTATTAAGACACTTGTCAGTAGTAGTAACCTACTACATTGCCACGAAACCTACTACAGTTGTAGGTTTTTTCTAAAGATCGTTTACCAATATTATATATTATTATATAACATATGCCGGCAAGACGTAAATCATCGGAACCACAGACACCACCAGCAACTCCTAAAAGATCAAGAAGTAGACGAAATGGTAGTTCTCAAGGATCTCAAAGCTCTCAAATTTCTTTGGGTTCTCAAAAATATACGGCATATTTAAGAGAACGTCCTACCCCTACAAGTGATATATATTCACAAGAAAAAAATCCTTTTTCTGGAGAAGAACTCTGTGAACGTTTACAATTAGAAAGTTCACAACCATCTATATTTAATTCTAATAATAATAATGATAATGATAATGTTGATGACGTTATTAATAATGATGATACAAATCAATCCGTTCCTAATATACCTACTGATCGTAGTGTCGCCGTAAATAACAATAATAATATTATTAATAATAATAATCCAATAGGTTTATTATCTTTCATATGTTGGATCTTAAATTTCGGTTGGAATAATTTAATTGGGAATAAGAGAAATAGATGGTTATTTTGTTTTATATTATTATTATTATTATTATTTTTAACATTTTCAAACGTTGAACAAGAAAATAAATCTTTTATGGATTACTTTTCATCAAGTAGAATATATATTTGGGCTATTGATGGTAAAACTTATAAGATTCAACCGATCGGTGAAAAAAAAAAAGATGTGAATGATAGTATTGTAGTCACCTTGGAAGATTTTAAACAAATGATTATAGCTGAAGTTAAAAATTATATGGATTCTGAGAATAGTAAACATTTACATTTATCTTCAATGTCGAATGAACCTTTACGTGCTTTAATAAGGGACGAAATTAAAAATATTGTATCATCAGATAGTAAAAAAGGTCCAGTTAGAAGGAGAGGTTCTTCCAGAGATGAGGAAACTTCAATTAGAAAGTTTGGTTCTACGAGAGATGAAAAAGCGGTGGAATTAATACGTAATGAAGCACGTAAAGTTGCTAAGGAAGAATTACTAAAATATTCTCAGGATAAACTTAATAGACGTGATTTCGCTTTACATTCAGGTGGTGCAAAAATTATCTCTAAATATACTAGTAAAACTTATGAACAATGGCCTAATGAATGGTATAAAAAAACTCTCGCTTATGTTACTGGTAAAGGTATCACTCGTGGTAAACCTCCGGTAACAGCAATTTCTCATGATACTAATGTTGGTCAATGTTGGCCACTTTCTGGTCAAGAGGGTCAATTAGCTATATTTCTTGATAGAAAAGTTTTTGTTACAGCTGTTACTTATGATCACATTAGTAAAGACATTGCTACAGATGATGTATTATCTGCACCAAAAGATTTTGAAGTGTGGGGAATCATTGATGATGGGACTGTAAGTAAAAATGATGATAATGATGAGGATTTCGGCGTAGATTTAAGCGATGATTTCAGTCCGCGAATGGAATCAACTGAAGATAAATGTGGAAGAAGAGATGATGATCAATATGATGATGGATTAAGTCATTTGAATCATTTAGAAATTGATACTAATGGCGAATTACATTTGGGTAGTTCCCCTCGTCATTTATATTTGGGTAAATTTACTTATGATATTAATGGTTTACCCATACAAACTTTTGAAGTACCCGACCATATTTTAAAGTATAACAAACCTATAAGAGCTATCATCATGAAGATAATTAGTAATTGGGGTAAACCTGAATATACTTGTCTTTACCGTTTCAGAGTACATGGTGATCCTGCTTTACCTACTGTATCTGCTTCTGATCCTAAAATAAAATGAAAAAAAAAAAAAAATTGGTTAATCGAATACACGATTAACACGCTGATAGAGCGGATAATTAAAGCGAATGTTGTGAATGTTGAGAGATGTGAAAAGGAAGAGAAATCAATATTTTAGTGTATTATTATTATTACGTTTGGTTATGGTTATTTTATGGTTATTTTGGTTATTTTTATTTTTTAATTTTTTTTTTTTTTATAAAAAAAAAAATTCATCTAAAAAAAAAGGATGTATATCATTATATATAAAACTAAACTTTTTATTAACAAAAAAAAATAATAATATATATATAATATATATAATATATATTAGTATATATATTTTGGGATTAAAGAAAAAAAGTAATAATAAAAAAAAAAAATTATAATTATATATTTCTTGAATGTATTATATTTTTTTGGTTTTTTTCTGTATTATATTAATATATTAATATTATCATTACAATAGTAATAGTATAACATATATTTCATATCATCATCTCATTGAATTATTAATAAAGAAAAAAAAAAAATATATTTTTGTTATCTAAAAATGAAAAAAATAAATAAATAAATTTACACAAAGTCACATATGATTGTAATTTTTGATGCAATCGGGATCATATATTTTTGGTATGTATGAAAAATATTTTTCCCTCCTTCCCCACGAACTACAGTACATATAATTGTACCATGCGCTCCATTAGAAAAAAATTAATAAAATAAATTTTTAAGTTAATGCAAGTTATTCATTACCTGATAAAAAACATTGAACACGTTTTCATTATTTGTTTGTTTGCATAATTCTTGCATCATCTATTTATAAATTAATTAATTAATATAAAAAGTTATATATCTGTCTCTTATACACATCTAGATGTGTATAAGAGACAGACATATAATTGTACCATGCGCTCCATTAGAAAAAAATTAATAAAATAAATTTTTAAGTTAATGCAAGTTATTCATTACCTGATAAAAAACATTGAACACGTTTTCATTATTTGTTTGTTTGCATAATTCTTGCATCATCTATTTATAAATTAATTAATTAATATAAAAAGTTATATATTATGTTATATATGTATATCTACAATTCTTTTTATTTACATTAAAAATAAAATTATATAATACAAATAAATTGTGTTCTATAATTTTGTACAGAAATAAATAAATTAATCTATTGAAGGAAAAAAAAGAGAAATCAAGTCTATGTATATCTAAATATTAAAATACTCGATTAAAATATTAAATTATTGAAATATTAAATTATTATACATTTTTTCTAATGCTTATTATTTATTACCATCACTTACCTTAATTAATTACTTACCTATAAATCATCTAAACTTGAATCGCTACTTAAAAACCACTCGAAAATTTTCAAATGAATATCTAGTAAATAAAAGATTATTACTAATAATAATATTATTATGATTATTATTTTACTTCCCGAACCGGATTCGGGTCCTTCTTCTTCTCCTCCTCCTCCCTTTACATTTTGATTGTTATCATAAATATTCTCTTTATTCTTATTCTCCTCTTCATATTCCTCCCACAATCCTAATCCATCAACATTCTGATATAAGCATGCGTTAACAATACCAATCGGTATATCATGTAATTCTGGTACAAAATCATCCGTTATACCAGACAATTGTGATAAATTTTGTCCTATGTTCGCATAGTCATCTAATGATGAATTGATTATTTAGTTATCCTATTCATATATATTAAAATGTCGAAATTTAAACATAATAATTTTGACTTTTTACCTGTTATGGTGTTATAAGAATCAAATGGACTTGTATTCAAGAAATTTATTGATATAAATGCTGCATATATGAATAATACTAATACAAATGTCCATACTGGTAATGCAAGTGCCCAATACCTTAAAAAGTGTGTTGACTTTAATATATAATATATAAAGCGATCATATATAGTAATTATATAGAATTATCATAACTACCTATCCGGATAATAAGTTATTCCCAGCGAGATTAATACTTCATCTGGTAAATATGCCCATAACAAATAAATAACTACAATTTAAAATTTAAAAATTATTTTTGTTAGATCAAAAGTTATTAATATTATAATTATTGTATGGGGAAGAAAAATACCAAAGAAATTAAATATATATCCCATCCAATAAAAATTATTTATCATTTATTAGGACTGTGCTGATTTTAATTCCGCATCACAATATTGAATATTTCATTTGCTTAAACGTCGTAAACCAGCATAGTCCTACGATAAATGTTAAACTCGTTAAAAAATAAAAATTTTTTGAATAACGAAAGTTACCGAATGCAATAAATGATAATAAATATAGTGCGAATCCATAATATTCATATGTTGGCGTTTTCGTTAATGTAGTTGGAGATTCGTCTGTATGATACAAATTTGTCGCACTAAATAGGTTTAGTTTCAAATTAGAAACTTTACCAAAAATAAAAATCAACAAGATTGTTTAGAATTGACTTACCCAGGAACATGATTTTTTGATAGATCATTTTGTGAAGTTGATGATGAACTCGTTTTCGAACTCTCGGTTTTGTTCGCAAGTAAACTACTATACGAAGCAGTTCTCCTAAATTATAATGTGTTAATATCATTCAAAGTGTAAATTAAACGAAGCGGAAGCAAAAAAAAACTCGCTTTATGTTTTACCCGAGGGTCCTTGTCCTAGGATAGATCGGTTTTGTTTGGTGTTGTGTTGAAGTAGGTGAAGATGGTTCTTGACCATTTTCATTATTTTCACCATATTGAAAATAATTATCACTTGTTTCTGAACTAAACAAAACGTTATTAAAGCCCACTCGTGATTTTGGCTCGTTTTCATTATTGGTATATTCCATGCTCGAAATTTAACGAGCATGTAATCTAATATGAAAAGGCACTTCTTTTATCTATGATATCTATAAAATGTAAAAAATTTAAATTTTTTGATCCCTTATCTTAATTTTTATTGTGATTATCATTTTTCATGGTTTTTACACAGAATTTTTTGAGACATCCAAGTAACATGATGCGTTGTGTTACGACACACGTAATCAGTTTTTAATTTCTTTTAATCTGATTTGCATTTAATGTTATACAGGGTGTAAACATTTTATACATTAAAAGAGATTAGATCAAAGGGACGTCACAGAGTTGGTAAGTCTAAGAAAGGTAGATTCCGGATTCGATTACAAAATGGAAAGATCAACTCATACCATTTTTTCCTTTGCTTTTACCAAATCCTAAATCAGGTTTTGAATGGTTTTCAATAATGAATGAATCCTATTTATTATAAATTATAAGGCTAGGAAATTTATTCGTTAAATCGTGTTTTAAATTCATTGCCTTTTTTGTTATTCTTCAAGGAGTTTATACATACATTTTTTTTCCTTTGCATTTGCCAACTCTACCTAAAAATTTTCTCTCTTTATTAATATTTTTCTTACGAGAAAAAGAATGGCAGAGTTTTTTGATGATATAAATAGTCCGTTTTTTGATGATAAAAATGGACCCGGTGTCCCCTTTAAAGAATTTACAGATCCTCAAAATCAACTTGTAAATTCCGAAAACCACAATGCATATAGTATTTACTGTGGACAAGGTTGTCGGAGCCTTATTTTACGTGCGAATCTTGGAAAGTGGGTTGAAAGATCAAAGGAAAAGGTATGAGAAATTAGTCTCGTATTACTTTTTTTATTTTGGGATCTCAACTTTTTCTAACGAGAAATTCCATTGTTTGTTTATTTCTTTTTACATTGGCAGTTAAAATTACCTGATGAAAATGAAAAAGATACAAAAGAATCCGACTCTGAAAATTCTTCTGAAAATTCTTCTTCTGAAAATTCTTCTTCTGATGATGTTACTCTGAATCAAGGATTTTGGGTATTGAATGATGTAATGGCATTTGAAAATATCAATGTCACGAACACTATAGTTACGGGAATTAGATATTTATGTTGTCCTAGATGTAATAATATAAATCCATTAGGATATAATGATACCAATACGAAGATGAATGAATATTTGATTGCTGCTGACCGGGTCAGTTATTTACGGGAAGAATAAATTTTCGTTTTTATTAAGTTAAGAATCCTTCCATTAAAAATATATCTACTATTTACATTTGCAATAATTAATTTATTTTTATTAAATCTATTACTTTTTTTGCTCTTATGGTTTTTGTATTTTACACATTTAGCGAGTTATTGTTGATTTTTATTTCATTTTATTTTATTTTTTTTTGTAATAATAATTGTCTTAATTTTCGGTTCCTATTTTATAACTTATATAGAATGGGACATATATATTGTGCTTCAAAGTTATATGTTATCATTTTATTTTAAAAGTTGAATAAATCAGATTTTATTTGAACTTATCGATCTATTCGGTGATCCTTTTATTTGATTAATTTCTTAATGCCGTAATGCCGGCCAAAATCTGTCAGTCTTGCTTTAGACCACCAACATATCAGATTTGCATTAAATGTGTAGCAGGGAAAAAACACGTAATATGCCAACATCACAGCTTCAAAATAGCTTACAAGCTTACGTTCAATAGGTTTTTAAAAGAGGAGCCAAAGCCACCTACAGAATTGTGTAATACAAATGAATGAAATCTATGGATAAAACTAAGTCGACCTAACTGATAACGAACGAATTCTACGGAGAGCTTTTAAAAAAAAGTGTAAGACAGTACGTGAATCTGTTGAAAAGGAAATGAAGAAGTCAGTCTTACCGACTTTTGTGAACGCGATCTTGTGAAAACATTATTGTAAACTTACTATAGTACGACGATTTGGTGACCAAAGATGTCATTAATCATCATGATAATACGAGAATGATGCTAGATTTCTGATAACAATAATTGAGGTTGAGTTTTAGGATGTTAGTTGCCACAATATGTCATGCCCTTCTATTTTTTCTTATTCCGTTTATTCTGGGGAATGGGAAAAAATTTTTTTATTGTTAAAAAATGGCATTGTCATCACCACCATCATATTTTGCGCGGACATGGTAAATGCGTGGATAAAAACTTTGATAATAAGTTTCATATGATAAATATGTAGATAAATTGAATGAGAAGAAATAATCTTTTCAGAAATATCTTAGCGGCAATCGCATATTCTATCATTAAAAATCATTATGATTTTTTTTTAAAATAAGAATATAATCTACTTATTTCATTCACGTTTGTTTAGATCGCAGCTAGTGCAAGGTTAGATCAAACTCGAGGTCTATTTGAAAATTGTTTATTTTGTTGTTTATTTAGTGTAGACCTATATTTATTGAACTAATCATAACTTTTTTTTTTAAACCAGATCTTAAGTAACGTACGAACATTTTTTGTTTAAGATCAGAGAAAAGAATTATGAGTAGTTGAGTTAACAAGTTAAATTCAACGGAAAAGGTGCGAACTGATCAAAAAGATTGAATTAGTCGTAGCTAATGCAGCCATCAAAGGTCAGTTTCTCATATGCACCAAAACGACCTGAAATTATGTCAACAACCTAAAATACTTTATAGGTCCAAAATCAAATTTTTCGATATAATTAGCGCGACAAAGGGAGAAAAGGTCAAAGACTCAAAAAATATTAATACAGTAATATATTAATTTTCAGATTTATATGAGAGCGTTTAAGGAGTTCAAGCTGTCGGCAACTAGACCAATGAAAGGCTAGAGCCTTTAACTACACTAAATCGATATTGAATGTACAGAAACTTATACCTGATAGACGATAGAACCACTAGAAAGACATTATAATAGGAAGACAGGCAACCATCGTGCATCATTTCAAAGACTTGAAAAAACTAATGAAGATACGATCAGAAGAATTTTCAAATGAAGCTGAATCGAAAGGTGTAAGATTGTATAAGAAATCGAAAATATGATGAAGTCAGATGGGTGTGAACTATTTACCTTTTACTTTTACGTTGTGTCTGATGGAGTGTTATATTTTTAATGAGGACTTTACTACTGATAACTGTAGACTTGTCCATATTGAATGAATAGGCAATTATGTGCAAAAAATGAACTCGTTGTGAGAATGCGATTTTTTCGGTATTTTTAATATTTAAATTAAATGTATTCTTTTTCCTACCGGCATTGTTTTATTTTAATATATTTTATTTAATACATTGAGAAACATAAGTAGAAATAACTTTAACGCTAATACAAAACATCAAAGTCATTGACAAATGCAAGACTACTTTATATACGATACTAAGCTGGGACAGCCTCCCACAGCTGGGACTGTACGAAAGGCTTTCCCACTAAAAGTTTAAATTAACAATAACTCGTTAAAATAAAATTTTCAACAAAAAAAAAAAGGAATAAAGAAAACCTCTATATATAAAACTATGAAAAATAAGCTGAGGCTAGCTAGATTCCCGCATGCCCCTAGCACATCAACCGATCCTTCATTCATTGCGCTTTCACCAATAATTTTATCAGCTTTATTTAAGATTGTTGTGTAAGGAAATCAGCGCCCATCTTGAAGTGGCCGGCGTCATCACCAGCTATAACACCACCAGTTAACAAAATAAAATATTCTGACTTATCTATAAAGGGTAGATACTGAGTAGATTTGTGTTATTGGGTATATTGAGTATCTTGAAAATCCGTATTTTCACTATTTCTGATTTAAAAATTTAGAGTCCACGTGATACGAGGTCATAATAATATTGTAATCAAGTCACGGGATCAACAATATGGAACATCCATTACTAGATTTATTCACAGAATTTTTAGATCGCGGTTAGATCTAGACTATTATTACTTTTAAACGTATTTTATATTTGGATTTATTACAAATTTTATCTTTTTATTTTTTTTTCATTTTGTTAAAAAATTCTATGGTTAATTTTTTAAAAGATAATCTCTTTTAATTACTTTAAAATTGGAATTTCGGGATCCTAAAAACTCGGAGAGTAGTGTTATGAAAGGTCGAGTCAACAAGTTAGGAAAACAAGAAAGATATGATAATCTTAAAAATATCAAAACAGCGATATACTAACGCTTCAATAGAATTGATGGGTTTATATGAAAATACTTTTGTGCAGTTGAGAAGTTAAGTCATCGGCTAGAATAGGTGTAACTAGCACATCCAGTGGCACAAGAATGTTGGTCATATTACAATAGGAGAACAGAGGTCATTCAAAAGACTTAAAAAAACCGATGAAGATAAAGAATAAGATACAATATGTAGAGAATCCAAAAGTATTTTCAATTGAAGCTGAATCGAAAAGGATATAAGAAAATATATTTAAAGAAAGGAAAAGATTGCAAAAGAAATCGAGAAGTTGGATGATGAATATACTACAGACCAGTTTTACCTTTTCGATAAGGTGTTTTATTTTAATAAAGGTATTACTACTGGCGATTTCAAAATATGAAATACCTATTCATCGTTATTATAATTATGCTGAATTTCAGATGTTAAATAAACCGAGTCACGTGACCAATAAATAATAGTATAAGCTTCTAGTATTTACTCTTCCTTTTTTGGACTAACACATGCATTGTTTTTTGTCGTTTTTCTAAAGCGAGAAAATAATCTACTTCATTTCAAAGGATTTTATTTCACAGTTTTATAGATCGCAGCAGACACAAGGTTAGATCTGACTTAAGGTCCATTAAAACTTGTTTATTTGGACGATTTATTTTGTTAATACCTGTTTTTATATTTTGGGCTAATTGCAAATTTTTTTTTCAATCCAGATTTAGTTTTTTTCTAAACATACGAACCATTTTTCACAGTTTTTATTTTACTTCAAAATGAAATCATGTCGGGTTTCCAAAAGCCCAGAGAAAAGAGTTATGAATGGTCGAACAACGAAGAGAAGACAAGAACGAAAATCACAAGAAAGAATTGCTAGACTTAAACAAATATCAAAACAACGATATACCAATGTTCAAAAAGATTTATTAGAATTATATGAGAATATTTTTGGTGTAGCCGAGAAGTTTAAGTCACCAGCTAGATTAGGTGTAGCCGATACAACTATCGAAAGATCAAGACCTTTAATTCCCCTTACATTTCAGAAACGAGCAGAAAAAGGCATAAATGGCCTAAAAGACCCTACGTATAATTACTCTACACCTATAGCTAGCCCGACACCGTCGTATGTTTCAGTACGGTCAAGCCCGACACCTTCATATGTTTCAACACACAACTACTCCCTATCGCCAAGACTTAGTTCAGCTTCTTCGATTGAGTTTACAAAAGAGCTACCTCCACCTCCACAATTGGTGAAGACATGTATACAAC